TTTATGAATGAAAAACGGTTTACACAGGATTCACAACTGATTTTGTTTGAACACTTTCAGAACAAGTGCTTCACTGACGAATTTTGTTTGAACCACAAAGCTATAAATGCTTCACCCACGTACTACAAATACAAATAATCGCCAACTGTTACGGTATCGACATCATCGTCGGAGTGTGAAGTGGCGATTTTGGAGCCATCTATGGGTCTGCTCTCCAACTTCCCTAATACTGTGGGCTACGTAGACAACGCCATCTGTTGGTGGTAGCCTGGTATCAATCAGAAAGAGGGGTCGATGTGGATTACCTCTGGTGGGTGGCATATCAAGATCAGCACCATCTAGGTTGTGGCTACAATGCATAATGTCAATTTCCCGGTGAATGGGTGTTAGCCCAGAGTTACCCAGTATACTGTCCATCTAATTAAAGACGTATTTATGTCCACAGAGGTGACATATGGAGACAATTGCGTCGAAGAGGGCAGTTTACCTTGGGCAGTCTACGAACCCTTAGCTTGGTCCTGCAAGAAGACAAAGAAGCCGCCGTCGATCCGAGCAATGTGTGCTAGCTGCTGGTATGTGTGCAGTGTTGTTGAAGATCGGCATACCCGGGATTGGCTAATAGGTGTTAAGGAAGACAGTGATGTGTCTATTTGTCAAGTGCTGCAAGCAAGCTGCTAGAAGCTTCTGCTAGGGGCGTTCGCTACCCCTGTGCATGATTGTTTGAGACCCCCGTCAGCATGTTGCTGAAGCCCTCTGCCAGTATCTGGAGAGCGAAGGGTGTAGACACATCGTGATACTGTGAGTGTGGACTGGCCCATGTAGACGGTGAACTCGCCAGTGTTTGCCAGTGGACGTGTACCCAGGGATGTGAGTTCACTTGGGCTTCATGAACACTGTACTTGTGTTGTGCCCCGAGTGAAAGAGGCCTTTTTGTACATACGTGTAGTAATATAAATATATATATTATATATATAAAATATATATATATATATATATATATATATATATATATATATATATATATATATATATATAATATTGTGTGTAAATCACGAAAAATAAACGTGATTAAAAATGTGACAGTGTCAGACCAAAGAGAAAAATTGAAACAGGAATTTCCTTAAGTACTTCCGCATATTAATATTGACTCCTTCTGAAGATGTATTAATATACGAAAGTACTTAAGGAAATTCCCGTTTCAATTTTCCTCCGTGGTCTGACATTGTCATATATAATATTATTAGTGGTGAAGGGAACTGTCTTGCTTATCCCCCCCCTCTTATTTATGCATTGCACTACTGCTAGATATAGCCAGTTTCTTGAAACCTTACTACCGACTTGGGGTCGGATATAGTGAAAGGTCATAACCCGGTTACTAGCTCATAAGTGTCCATAACACCAACAGAACCTAAACAACAACCTATGTCTATATATGCACAATATGCTATATATATAATATTCATTTATATTTGAGAAAATTCCCACTTTGAATGAACAGCATGTATGAATGTGTCTGTGGGGTCGACCATTGGATGTAATGGACTTAAGTCGAGAACGGGTTGTGAACAAGTCATCGGCAAAGCACTTGTTCGAGAAGTGTTCGAACGTCATCAGTTGCGAGTCAACCCATTCTCGCATACAAAGATCCAAGCTGTTAACCCATCCGCCTAACCCCCTGTGTATGAATGAAAAGCGGTTTACACATGACTCACAACTGATGATCGAACACTTTAGGAACAAGTGCTTTGCTCACATCCGGCGTTCGAACCACAATTCTATAAATGCTTCACCCACGCTCTTCAAATACAAATAATTGCCAACTAAACCTAATCACCTAACCTACCCTAACCTACGCCTAACTATACATCAAACTTTTATGTATAATATTAATTTATATATGAGAACAAACCAATTTTTAATACACAGTATGTTAAAATTGATGAATGCATCTGGGGAAGATGGCCGCTGCTGTAAACAGCCTAGTGTGAGAACGGGCTGTGTGCGACCCGTTCTGTATGTGGATGTGGGCCAGGCCAGACTTAGCAAGACTTGCTAAGCGACTCGACTGCCTGGTGACTCCTTATGTGCTTTGTGCTTTTAGCCTCAAGTCTCCAAAGGAATTTGTTGACTTACTGCAGGGAGCACGGGCCACAGGGATAAGTCTCTTTGGATGTGGAGTTGCTGTTTACCAACGTGCATGTGGATGAAACAATCAGGATGATGGACAGAGTTTATCCCTCTTGACATGTATAAGTAGATGGGGTTGCCATGGGTTCTCCCCTAGATGTCCTGTTTGCAAACTTTTACATGGGTACCATAGAGCAGAGGGTCGTAGCTGACATGGACTTGAAACCCTCCATATACTGCAGGTACATTCATGACATTTTTATGCAGGTACCTGATGTCAGTCGTTTGCAGCAGCTGAAGGACGCATTCGAGCAAAATTCAGTGTTAAGTTTCACTTACGAGATGGAGAGTGATGGGAGGCTGCCCTTTCTAGATTTCACAATCACAGAGAGGTATGGTGGCTTCCACAATGCAGTCTACACTAAGGAAACGAACATAGGAATGTGCCTTAATGCCAACAGTGACTGCCCAGACAGGTACAAGAGGAGTGTTGTCAATGCTTACATCGACCGAGCTCTCGCTCACAGCTCTGGTTGGAAGCAGGTCAACGAAGAACTCTATAGAGTAAGGCAGGTCCTAGTCAATAATGGCTTCTCTAACAGTTATGTTGAAGACGTCATCAAAAGAAAAGTGAAATGCCATGCAACCTCTGAAAAGTCAACTAACACAACACTTGTACCTCCTATTAGACTGTTTTACAGGAGCTTCTTTTCAATGGCTCACAAAACGGAGGAAAGTGTCTTGAAAGATATTATTAATATGAACATTATCCCCACAAACAAATCAGAACATACAAATAACAATTTACTACAAAAACAAGAAAACGGCCAACCTACTCATAACTCTCCAGACACCAAACAGAACGCCTTGAAGGAAACCAACATTGTCTATGCCTTCACATGCCCCCTTGGAGACTGTCAGCCTCAAAGATCTCCGTATACAGGCAAGGCAACAACGTCTCTTTCTAGGCGATTAACAATGCATAAACAATAGGGTTCCATCAAGGAGCAAATAATCTCTACACACAACCAGACCATCACCAGAGACATCTTGACAAGCAACACAATAATTATCGACAGATACAACGATAACAGGAGACTCGACATCAGTGAGGCCCTACACATCATAAAGTCAAAACCAGCAATCAACAGCCAATTAACACACAATTACATTCTACCCACTTCAAGACCCCGAACCAGCACAGAAGCAAGAAGATAGAATGTATACCCATAGTTATATGTCAATTGTATATATGAATTGTTTCATGTTTTGTCTTTTATTTCCTGTCACCTCACCCAAAAAATTTGTATCCCATCACCTCACCCAAAAACGAATATAAGCACAATCTGAGTAAGTTAAAAAAATTGTCTTTGAAATTGTAAGAAATGTTCTTGCAAAACGCTTCTAGGCATCAGACCATAAATAAGAAGTGAAAATAAACTTTGGCGAGTTAATTTTTCAACTACCCCAACAGTGAAGACAAACATAAGAAATATCGAGATTTGTATTAGAATCATTAATCTTACCCTTTCGGTCATATTCAGCAACATATGTTTACAATATAGACTGATACTAAAATATTTATATGTTGTACCTAGTAGCCAGAACGTCGTACTCGGCCTACTATGCAAGGCCTGATTTGCCTAATAAGCCAAGTTTTCCTGAATATATATATTTTTCTAATTTTTTTCTTATGAAATGATAAAGCTATTCATTTCATTATGTATGAGTTAATTTGTTTAAATTTGAGTTAAAACTAATGTAGATATATGACCGAACCTAACCAACCCTACCTAACCTAACCTATCTTAACCTAACCTGAACTAACTCAACTAAGTCAATAATTTATGTTCCTAATATAATATAGTAACAATATTTCAAATAAACTAACTGCATACAATTTATTGAAAATAAAGAAAATCACTCGGCCTATTAGGCAAATCGGGCCTTGCATAGTAGGCAGAGAAGTGCGTTCCGGCTACTAGATACGACATATATATATATATGTGTATCAACACAGAGTGTGACATGTTGGCAGCTTATGTTCTTCTTGCTGCTTCCATTCCTGTTGCAGGGGTCATTCGGTCCAGCTTCTGCACTGGCCTGGGGTCTTGAAGTGGGTAGAGTGTAATTTTGTCTTAACTGTTGATTGCTGGTCTAGATTTCTTGATAAGCAGCGCTTCACTGGTATCTAATCAATCAATCTTCTACTGTCATTGAATCTATCAATTATTTCGGTGATCGTCTCGTTGTGTATGGCAATTATATGTTCCTTGATGGAGCCCTGTTGTTTGTGCATTGTTAATTGCCTAGAGAGCGACGTTGTCTTGCCTATATGCCGAGTTCGTTGGGGCTGATGACACATGACACTGCCCGACTTAGAGCTGTAGCAGCTCCCCATGCAGGTGACTTCCTATTAGCAACTTGGGCACTTCCCATGCCCAAGTGGGCATGGGAAGGCGCCAATGAAGATAATCTCCAAGTGGGCATGTGAAGAAATTGAGATTGTAACCCGAAAAACTGGAAGGGTCATTCGGTCATCAACCGAGGTTCTACTGTAGTTGCTTTTAATACTTTTATACTTTTATATAGTTGCACAGATCATGGGTTCAGGTGAGTTTACTGTATAGATGAATACTCACATTCCCATATGCACGAAAATGTCACAGTTGTTTAGCTCACATTCTGATTATACTGATCAGTGTAACAAAAATAACCATTGCCTGCAAGTCATCAACAGCATCATTACATCATAAAAAAGCAAAGAATTGGAAAGAACAAAACTTAATAAATTTGATAAAAGACAAAATGCCACCTACAAATAGTCTACTCTCACCTTGGTACTTCTCTACATACAAAAATAAACAGAGTAATTGAAATATTGCATTATAGGATTTATTTAGCCAAATAATGTACAGATTTTATCAGCAAAGAGTAAAAACACTAAAATGCACACAAGGAATAGAAAAATTTACAACAAAAATAAGATGACTACAGCTTTTTCGTCTTCATGAATTCACTGAAGGTCAGCATCTCTTCCCTTTTTTTGACTTTTGTAAAACGTTTACGTATATTATCCGCTGGGTATGCAACGTGAGAGTATGTGCCATCATAAGTGGGTGTTGCTGGAGTAATTTCTCTTATATCATGGCACCGGGAAGGGGAGGATGGGCTTGGGTCGTGTGGTTCCTGGTACACTTTATGTAGCTCTGACACCTGTGATTCATAATCTTTTATTATGCTAGAAAATGAGCCACCCTTCATCTTCTTCACCTTTGGAAGTTTGTTTTTAAGCTTAAGAGCCTCAGCAACTGAAAGTCAAAAACTATTGTAAGGACCTAATACTCTTCAAGAGATTTTTCATTTCTCTGAAATTAATAAAATACTCTAAATAATAAATCTATATAAAAAGCACAGATAAAATACAACCTGTTATCCAAAATGAGTGTTCTTGAGGATGGTACTACAAAATATGGACATCACATCCAAAATAAATTCAATGTTTTTTACTATAAAACTTGTGTAAAGGGCACGTGAAAGAAATCGACAACTAAATCAAGCTTCTCCTAGGCATAGTATAACACATATGTACTAAATTAGGCCTAAACATATGTATGTTTATGCTTAGAACAGGTAAGGTCAAGTTTCTGGTTTGAATTTGTTTATGCCCTTTAAAATTCTAATACCCAATAGTACAAAATGTGAACTTTTTTTGTATACAACCATCTATACTTTGCACATTCCAGCCACAGTAACTATAGGTTTTTATCATATTTAAGAGGATTGTTATGATTACCTTGAGGTTATCTTGAGGTGCTTCCGGGGCTTAGCGTCCCCGCGGCCCGGTCGTCGACCAGGCCTCCTGGTTGCTGGACTGATCAACCAGGCTGTTAGACGCGGCTGCTCGCAGCCTGACCTATGAGTCACAGCCTGGTTGATCACCAGATATGATAGTAAGAAATATAGAGGACACAGCAAACCTCAAAACTTATGGACTACTTTTCCTAGCATTGAAGACGCACCACCCTACCAGCACCATTTTGAGTTATTGAATTTTGAAAAAAAAAAAAAAGAAAAAAAAGAAATTGGAGCTATGCTTGGCCTAACATATAAAATATATTACAAATGCTGTTTTACTTATTGTAACTCATTATTTGTTTGTTTACTTTAATATTTTATTATTCTATGATAAGATTAATCGTATGGTCAAAGCTGAATCGTATACGTTCGTAGTGTGTTTGTTTATAGTTTGCAACTGGGGACTAGCCATGTTCTCGGCTCTTAACAAATTCAACATCACAATAGGAAAAGGTTAAAAAATACAGTTTTCGGAATAAATTTGATTGCACCTAAAAACGAAGATTACAAATTTGGATTTTTTTTTTTTTTGCAGATGCATAATATGGGTAGTGTCTGGCAGTGACATAATGGGGAGTGACTTTTGTCTGGCGGCGACGCAGTTTGCGTCCATAAATAATCTCACAGATGTCCGGCGGAGACGCTTTTTGCGTCCAAAAATTAAAATACTTTTAAAAATTCCATTTATTGTTCAATTATTATGAGACTAGTTCTCAAATGTGCACCTGTAAATTGCAAACACTTTGATACCATAATGAATGGCACAGCACGACAATTGAGGTCACAACACTGGAAAGATTATAAATACTTGTGTGGTGATGAGCGTCCGGAATTAAAATATTTGTTAAAATTACATTTATTGTTCTATTATTATGATACTAGTTCTAAAATCCGCACCTTTATATTGTGAACAATTTGATACTAACCTGAACGACGTAACATGAAAATTGATCTTAACAAACTGAAAAGAGTAGACACATTTGTGTGCCAGGTGTTGCAAGTATGCCAATGGGCTATACTATAGGCTATAGTATATACTATATACACTGCCATATACTATAGGCTATACTATATGCTATAGTATATAGCCTATAGTATAGGCTACTATAGGCTCAGGAATCTGTGCACCAGTTGATTAACAGGTGAGAGGCGGGACCAAAGTGCCAAAGCTCAACCCCCGCAAGCACAATTAGGTGAGTAATGGGTGCTGTCTGACAGGGTAACTCTTGGCTGACTTTCGGCATTTCTGGGGGAGGGGGGGGGGCTACTGGACCTTATATACATATACCCCTGTAGGGAATTCTATTGTGAACAAATTTTGAACAGCCAAAGTAAGTGGAATTTGGTATTTATTTTTACATAGACATGATCAGGGAAGGGAATTTATCATTTTACAAACAAAAACAAGAATTTTTGGGAAATACTCAATTTCATGTGCACAGGGGGAATGTCACAATAAACTTGGCGCATCACAGTGGTTAAAGAAGAAAGTGGAAGAAAATGTAATAATAAGATCTTGGAGGGTTTAAAATGAGCACAATTCGATTAAGAACATGGGAAACTTGAATAAATTGATAACTGCTTTAGATAAGAATTTCTTAGGGAGAATCAAGCAACAGAAACAAAGATATACAGTAGTAGAAATAAAAAATGTAGATTAATTTGAACTTACCGTGAGGCTTCTCATCACTATGAAACTCAAGTGACTCTAATGTGGAAAGCATCTCATCTACACCAATAGTAGGCTCAAGTTGAGTGCCCTTGTTGCTCCTGAAATATTAAATAAAAATCAATAAAACCAGCATTGAATGTAATGAAACGCCATTTTCTGGGTGAGCCCCGGAGGCTCCCTAGAGCTATTGGACTGATATATGCTATATTAGTCTAGGGCTCCAGTCACTGGAGTTCTGCCTACCGGGGACCACGGCCAGAACCTGGCCCCCTCAGAGAGGCGCAGGGAGCAATGGCCCAAGGAAAACCCCCATATATTTTAGGGGTATCCCACATGTGTCATCAACCAGTGTTAGGCACCCAGAGAGGTAGGCATTTAAAAAATAAACTCCACTTGGTAGGAAATTGCAAAACACCCAAGACCAAACAGAGAAACATAACTCCCCATAAGAAAACAAGGAAACAAGCAAACGTCATCCACTGTCGTCGTGCCACTTGTCGGTCGTAGAGACGAGCCCCTCCCATTCGTGGGGGGCGGCTCTCGCGGCGTGCAAAAGGTCGGTGATCCACCCGACCCGTCTTGAAACACGGACCAAGGAGTCTAACATGTGTGCGAGTCAGTGGGCGCACTAAACCCAGAGGCGTAATGAAAGTGACACGGGTTCGGCTGTCGCCTCGTGTGGCAGCCGGACTCAGGGCCGATCCCTCACCGGTTGCCCTCGCCTCTCTCCCGCGTCTCGGTAAGCCGGGTGAGCTATTTTCCCCGGCCGCTGCTGCGGGGCTCGGGGGGAGGCGGGGTGCGATGGTGTCCGTAAAAAAGAGCCTGCTGTTGCAGGGGGGCGCAGGCCCGGGACTTGCCAGGACGCCGCGAGACTGTCACTTTGCTGTGAGGCTCTAGGGTCGATCAGCGGGTCATGCGTGCAGTCGGCAAGTACCATGAGCAGACATGTTGGGACCCGAAAGATGGTGAACTATGCCTGGCCAGGATGAAGCCAGAGGAAACTCTGGTGGAGGTCCGTAGCGATTCTGACGTGCAAATCGATCGTCGGAGCTGGGTATAGGGGCGAAAGACTAATCGAACCATCTAGTAGCTGGTTCCCTCCGAAGTTTCCCTCAGGATAGCTGGAACTCGTGGGATGAATTTCATCCGGTAAAGCGAATGATTAGAGGCCTTGGGGACGAAACGTCCTCAACCTATTCTCAAACTTTAAATGGGTGAGATGCCGAGCTTGCTTGAACGCTGAAGCTTCGGCGACTAATCTGAGTATCTAGTGGGCCATTTTTGGTAAGCAGAACTGGCGCTGTGGGATGAACCAAACGTCGAGTTAAGGGGCCTAAATGAATGCTCATTCAGATCCCATCGAAAGGCGTTGGTTGCTATAGACAGCAGGACGGTGGCCATGGAAGTCGGAATCCGCTAAGGAGTGTGTAACAACTCACCTGCCGAAGCAACTAGCCCTTAAAATGGTATGGCGCTCAAGCATTCTCCCGATACTCGACCGCCGGGGCACTAGCGGCCAGCGACGAAGAGCGCAGGTCTCGAAGCCCCGGCGAGTAGGAGGGTCGCAGTGGTGAGCGCTGAAGGGATCCGGCGTGAGCCGGCCTGGAGCCGCCACTGGTGCAGATCTTGGTGGTAGTAGCAAATACTCGAGAGAGACTCCCTTGAAGACCGAAGTGGGGAAGGGTTCCATGTGAACATCAGTTGGACATGGGTTAGTCGCTCCTAAGCCCAAGGCTAAGGCCTGATTCCCACGCTAGCGGCAACGGCCAATGCAAGCCATGGCAACCAGCAATCCCAACAAGTCTATGTCCATTCCGTACCCCTAGACCAATTCCCCCTTGCAAAGCTGGGTGAGGATAACCACAAACATCTGGCATTCAACCTTGGAAAGACAGAGACATTCCCTCTTATAGATTAAGATAGATCCTTGATTTAAACAACTTTCTCTTGTGGAACGTTTTGATTAATGGAATTGCCGATCAACAGAAAAAAAAGAGAGGACAATTTGATAAGTTGTCTTTCAGGCTTCAATAAAACATTATTGAGTAAAGTACAGCAAGCAGAACATGAAGCATGGAATCTCCCACTTTATGCTTCAAATTTTATCTTGATTTGATTTATATATAATCAGAAAGCTGATGATTACCACTAAACAATTACAGTTTCACAGTAGATATTTCATACACATGGTCATAATCATGGTCTAAATTGGATACAGGAAAGATTCAAGAACAGTATTTTACTGATAACTAATGTCAGAATTTAGCTAATTGACTGGTGAAAGGCAGCTGTTTTTCCCATTCAATTCAGTAATTACAAAGTCCTGTATTTTCTTTACTCTTAAATCATGGTGGGCAAGTCTTTAAACAAAATAAAGAAAAGCATGACTAAGACTGTAAATTAAAGAGAAGAACAGGACCAGATACTAACGTGATATTAAGTGTCTGTTGTAAGAGCGTAGCGCTACCCAGTTTGCCTTTCATGTGCCGCTTCCAGCGAGCAGCAACTGCACGGTCGTGTCTCTGTACATCAGCTTCGCTCTTCATCGTCCACTTTGCCTTTAATAATTTCTGGAAAAAAAATATTTTACTTGTATATGATCTGATAGCTAGAAAGTGTAGCTTGGTTCAGTTTTCCACAATCATATAACTTTTACAGCAGAGCAATGCAACACTTGTCAAAAATATCTACATTACAAGGTTAATAATAACTGATGTAGAGTTTACCAAAGGTAAACTCCATACAACTCCTAAGCATCTCTTATAGGCACAATAGCCTGATCAACCAGGCTGTGACTCATACGTCAGGCTGCGAGCAGCCGCATCCAACAGCCTGGTTGACCAGTCCAGCAACGAGGCAACCTGGTCGATGACCGGGCCGCGGGGTCGCTAAGCCCCGGAATCACCTCAAGGTAACCTCAAGGTAAGGTAACCATAAGAGCAAGCTGCATGCATGCACCAACATGAATCGGCTAATACTGATTCTCATGCATGAATGAGAATAATTATTATTAGTAAGATGACCAACCACACATCAAAAGATGGAGAAACAACTACATTTCAGTCCGTCCTGAACCATTATCAAGTCCTGTGCGGACTTCATAATCAGTATTAGTAATATTAATTATTACTATTAAATATACCTTAGCTTAGTATTAGGGTGTTAATTAGAATTACAAGTAATAAGCACAGTATATTATTACTAAATTAATACTGAAATTAAGCCAATTTTCCAATAAACTCTCGGTTGAGTACTGTACAGAGAAGGAGACACCATTCTTTTCAATGTTGTGTTGCTACTCTCACCACAATGGATGTCTACAGAACTTCAACTCCCAGAGTTACAGATCTTTACATGATTTGCAAGTCTACAACTGTTAAATAGTTGTTATAAGGTTACTTAATTACACCTAGGAGTTTAAGAAGTGTTGGATAATCATCATAAACACTATTATAGACAAATAAGTGATACAAAAGGAATCGACTGGTAGCGGTCTAAGACGCCACAAGTTGCACACGGCTACATCATGCATCCATCCCTACAGATGAACAACTGATTCAACTAGAGGCACAACTGACTTGGGCATCTGGACTCTCTTGCATGCGGGTCCGACAGGATGCATGCCACGCCCCAAACGAAAAGAAAGGGCAGTTTGCCAACCAGAAAGACTCGGGCACCTCGTAATGCACCCAGTAAGGAAAATTGGAACCAAACTCAAAAGAAGAAGGATCCATTATCGAGGCAAAATCTGGGTCTCGCAGGAGGTACGATGCAATAGTCTTCTGAACCTCCTTAGGTGGGATGCGGGAAGCCAAAAACCTCCGGAAAGAGGGAACTGAATAACCTAGGGAACCTGGAACCGAACCTGGGGAAAAAGCCGAACTCATACAAAACTTTTACAGGGAGGGGTATAAGAAACCCCCCTTCCCTTGCAACAACACGCCCCTTGCCGAGGGTATCAACACCCAAGCAGGGTCAAATGGGGCCCAAGTGCCCTCAAGTCAACTCCTCCCCAGCCCCGGGATCCTCCATGTTAGGACCCGGGGCAGAGCCGTCCTCCAAACCCTCTGCCTCTGGAAAAAAAAGGCAGAGTCCACCGGAAAAGCAGGGAAGAAGGGGTCCTCTGGTCCAACCCAAAAGCCCCGGCAGGAGGAATAGGCTCAAATGCCTCCACTGCCCAACCGGAAGGGGCAGCCCCCGAAATCGCTCGAGTCTCACCACCATCTAAACCCTGCCCCAACTCCAAAACCCTCAAACATTTTGGAGCTGGCAACATGAAGGGGGAGCAGGATGAACAACAGAAGGGGAAGGACAAGGGGCGAGGACGAAATAAAAGTCGAGGCCCCAAGTTTGGGTCCCTATAACCAAGGAGGGGCATCCTCAGGGTATCTGGAAAGTCAACCAACCTAGAGCGTTGCAGCAACCTAAGCCTTGCATGCAATGCTGAAGCTGACTGCACCCGAATATCAATTTCAGTGTACTGGGTGAATAGGAGTACAAGCAAGGAACAACACTCGCAGGACTCTGGGTCAAAGGTGTCATTGACCCAACAGGCAGCATGGTGGAGGCAAAGACTGTGAGTATCACCTGAGACAAAGGGATAGAGCAACCTTCAAACTTAGCACGAAGGAAGAGATGGGACTCAGAAGACGCATCCATTGGAATTTTTGGGATTATGACAACGGGCAAACAGCACCTACAATCTTTTTCAAGTGGGCAAACACAGTTCACTCCAATTTGAAATTCACACTGGATCACGATGACTCTACTATAAATTTATTAGACACTAAAGTATATTTTAACCAACTTAGCAGAAGACTGCAAACAAAAGCGTACTACAAACCCACGAATCTGCACACCTACCCTAAATTTGACTCCAGTCGCCCACGAGCACTTAAGAAATCCCTGTCATACTCTCTCTGGGCCTCTGCCTAAAGAGAATTAACAGTACAGAAGACACACTACACCCACAGCTACAAGACCTTTGGAAGATGTTCAGGGCTAGGGGGTGTATTCAGAGAACGTGCGACGCGACACCCAACTGAAACTGCGGAGTGACACGGCCCCAACTCCTTGAAAACAAAATAACAAAACTAATATGTAATCATTCTAATACTTAAAAATACAGTGGCGCCTCGATTAACGAGTTTAAGACGTTCCAGCACCGAGCTTGTCATGTGGAAAACTCGTCTTGCGAAACAACAATAAAAATGTCGTCGGAGGTGTTCAAGAACCAGCGGCAACGCTCGTTAATCGAGTGCAAGCTCGTCAGTCGAGACATATTTTCTGCAAGTGGCTTGCTCGTTATTCGAAATGCTTGTAACTGGAGCCGCTCGTCACTCGAGGTTCCACTGTACTGTACTTAAATACGGTATAAAACCTGGTTTACCTGTGCACCAGCAGGAGAGATGGGAAAGGACAGTGAGAGCGCCTCGGGTGTCCACATGTCTGGATCAGACAAGTGCAAGTACCGCAACTGTTCCTTCATGGCCCATGTCAGCAAGTTCTCTTCTTTGGGCTCGTAGTCCCGAAAGTATTTTTGCTTAATTATTTGTCTTCTGATGTGTTTCTGATAATTCTTGGCATCACTGGAAATATATTTGTGTACAGAAATGCAACTTTATAATAATCAATAATAATAATTAATAACAATAATAAAAAATAATAATAATAATAATAAAAAAATAAATACTGTAATAATGAGTAATATGAAGAATTAATACTAATAATTAATAATTAATTAAATACTAACAATATTACAAATAATACTGTAATTATAATGCAATTTATCTCCCATATCAATTCACTGCCAGATAAGGATTCTTACAGTATTAAATGTCAAGACACAACACCATACAGGACAAACAAACAAACAAGCAACAACTATATGAACTCCACGAATGGTTAGATGACTGGCAAATGCTTTTTAACATCCACAAAACAATTTGTCCTGATGATGAAGATCAGATGTAACACACAAGGAGCAACGGTGTCAATCTTGACAAGCCTCAATGTACAACTGAGCACAGGAGATGTTTGTTCATCCAAAGGGTTATAAACCCTTGGAACAGCCTACCCGCCAAAGCCGTAAATGCCAAAACTCCGTTGGGTTTTCAAATCCACCTGGAAAAGATCACCAAGGCAAGACAGGGGACCTTTGACAAGCTGCCGGCTTCCTGTTCTCATCAAGGCTACTAGTGTTAGTGGCCTGGAGGTAAATCAGGTAAAAAAAACACACCATGGCAGATAGAGAACAGAAAAATATAAGAGTAAAGAAAACTGCTGAAGTGCTAATGGCCCATGCAAGGAAGCCCCCTCCCCCCAACTGATTCCTAAAAAAACTAGACGGAGTACCCAACGGTACCTGGGTCGGGTCTGTTTGTATCTGTATATCTATCTATATATATCAATATATCTATATATATATATCTATCTATATCTTTCTATATATTTATTTTATCTACATCAATATATCTATCAATATCTATCTATAAATAAATAAATAAATGTATGTATGTATGTATGTGTGTGTGTGTGCGCATGCTCTTCCTGTGCACAACACCTTAGCGTGTGCATGTATCAGTTAACACACCTTAGCGTGTGCATGTATCAGTTAACACACCTTAGCGTGTGCATGTATCAGTTAACACACCTTAGCGTGTGCATGTATCAGTTAACACACCTTAGCGTGTGCATGTATCAGTTAACACACCTTAGCGTGTGCATGTATCAGTTAACACACCTTAGCGTGTGCATGTATCAGTTAACACACCTTAGCGTGTGCATGTATCAGTTAACACACCTTAGCGTGTGCATGTATCAGTTGTGCGTATATGCACACATTATACAAGTATAGGATATAAAGTAAGCTTGAAAATTATGATTAATTATACATACACTTCAATCTGTGATGCTTGGCCTTGCAGGGCCTCCATGTCTGAAGATGATATAGCTTCTAATTCATCGATACTAAGATCCCCAGTTTCCTCTTCACTCAGGTTGAGGCTGCGTAAAACTCGTCGAATACCTCGTGCTGTAAAATACCACATTCAATAACATTTGGGATTCATTTACAAATATCAGATGTAGTCAGCAAATCAGATGATACCCATGAGCTTTTAAAATTTTCAATGGAAGAATAGATTTTACTGACCAAAAAGTCTATCTTATAAACTGTTCAGTTTTTTGTTTGTCAGCACCTTCATATGCTGCCACAAGGGTGGTGCATGATTTAACCATACTGCACATACTTGTGCCTATGTAGCTTCCCTCCAGAAAAATCTGACAAATGTCATACAGGTATCATTAAATCACAATATTGATCCAACATGGATTATATGTTACTCGAGCATATTTTGCCTATTTGGATAAGTACCCTATGTGCTCTGCTTGATTATGCACTGATCCTGACACAGCACAGAGGATCATTCTACATTTGGAATAGTTGCATAATACAGATCAGATTGCCCAATATATATATCTTTCAAAATAATCTTTAACCTTTTAAATGCACACTAGCATGTACTGTAGATAAGTTAGTTTCACATTAGTGCAGTAACTTCTCTACAATCTCTACTACACTGGGACCGGAGAGAATAACAAGACAGGCACTGAAACAAATAATAGCAATCAAGAATACACATCTGTAGTTTCAATAAATCATTGTACTGTAGTAACAAAAATATGTGAAAGATATCACATATTGATATCACGGTTGTAGAGAATACAACCTCACATTCCATTCACCTGGGCTCTAGGAGATTCAAACTGCAAACCCCATGCGTGTGAGGCCGAAGCTCTATCGACTGAGCTATTAAGTAGTCTTAATAAAGTATATTTCCAGAAGCAGCATCCTGTTGCTAAACTGGAATTTTCTACTTTCCCTGACTACTACTGAAGCTCAGAGGAATTAGTGATCCACGCCCATGTCATATAAATTGTCATCCACACTTCCGTGGAAATAAATATTCCAGTCACCTGAGCTCTAGGAGACTAGAGGAATCACTAATTCCTCTAGTCTAACTTTAAAAAAAAATAATTTGGCAGGACTGGTCGAGATGAGGGTTCCTGTCCCTCTTCCTCCCCCAGTCCAGCTGATACTCTGGGTTCTGGCTTGGTTGGATTCATATCAAGGATGAGTGGACCTCCTGGCACCATGGTGGCTGGCCCAGCCTTGGTTTCAGGCGCTGCTTGCTCGGTGTCTGAACCCGGGTGGGTTTCTTGCAGCTCCGCCTCTTTCAGCAGGTTGGGTCAGTGAGGTATCTCGCTGATTCGCCTTACTGCTCTGCAATACGCGTCTGGTCTTTCTAACAAGTGTGTATCACCATTTATATGGTGATCAGGTGGCTTCTTTGATGGTGTCTCACCTGTGTTCTTTTTCCCAGCGACTGTATGAAGTTTCTTGGCGGCCTTTACATCACTTTCTTTCTCTTACAAGGTTTTCGTCGATTTCAGACTAGGTTATTTTGCCCTTTCTCTCTTGGCTTTTTCTGGATCAGCATCCCATGCCTAATATTGTCGCTTCTTATCGTGCAGCGTTGGCGGAGTCGCTCCAGCTTGCGTTCAGGGTGGATGTTGCTTCTGCTCCATTCTGCTAGCTTTCACATGCATTTTTTTCACCTCCAGCCTGCTCATGCGCCGCCTGAGCCTTCTTGGTCTTTAGACCACGTTCTTTTTTTTTTGTTTCCTCTCCTCGCTTTGTGGCCCATTCGGTTAGGGATTGCTTTTGGATGGCCTTGTTTTTATTGGCATTGGCCTCTGGGGGGTCGGGTTGAGGAGCTTCATGCTCTCCTCCGACGCCAGGGGTTCTGTTCATTTGGTCTAGGTGGTCATTTTGTCTGTTTGCAGACTTCTCCTTTTCTGGCGAAGAATGAGACAGTGGGTTTCTGGAGGGGTTCGTTGTTTGTGGATGCTTGGTTGGTTAGGCCAGGGGGTGCATCATGTGCTATGTCCAGTGGTGGCTTTATGCTGCTACCTGCCACTAGTTCTATGACAGTGGATGTTCTTTGGGTGAATACGGTTTCCCTGGATCCCTGTTCCAGGGCTCATGTGTCTCAGGTTGTCTGCAGTGTCATAAAGTCTAGCCAGCCAGCGGTCTACTCTCATGCCCATGACATTCGAAAGTATGCTGCTCTCACAGAGGTTTTTGGCAACATGTCTTGGGTAGACATTCGGGCATGGGGGTTTTGGAGGTCGAACAGGGTACTGGCAGCCAGGTATCCAGTGAACGTTCTGGTTCCTTTCTGGCCATGTGTGGCTTTGGTGAGCCAATCGCGGCCATCTGTTTCTTCTTCGTCTTGAGACCTGCTGTGCTTCCGCCTCCCGGGTAAGTCCCTCCTGTTACTTATATTTGGGTAGTTATCTTCAGACTGGGTTTTTCTAATAATGCTGCTGTTGCAGTTAAGATACTGTGATCTATTTTTGATAGGTTATTTAATGACTGTTTTGTTGGTAATACAGTGTATTTAAAACTTTTGTTTCCTTTAGTGTTTTCCTTTTTTACCAGATGAGAGCCTCCTCAACACCAAATGAAAGTGGGAATGAGATAATAATGATGATTAAGGATGAACAAGAGCATGTCTTTGAGATGTTATATACAAGTGAATAAAACATACATAACTGAGCTATTCATATTTTGAATAAGCTTTTATAGTTACTGCATGACAACAGTATATAACATACCAAATATAGATAAATGGATTTATAACAAAGACAACAATAATAATAATACAGAAATAATAATAATAATAATATTAATGTTTATTCAAAAGAAAATATATACAAAAAACATAACAGTAATGTACAATGAGAAAATCCACTAAGGCGATGAAGTGGATGCAAACCTACGATGTCGGCATTGCCAGTCGCGTACTGAATATCAATATTCATTGATATATATCATGTTAATGTTATTTCTATGTATTTCTGTAGTAATGTACAATTGTAGGATTAGGAGTTACACATACAGTACTAATAAAGTCACTATTACACACAGCATTTCAGGCAAGAAACGAATTTAGAGAGGTTATGCAAGTTTTCTGACCTCACTGACCTGAAAGTGGTGCAGAAGTGCTAACACATCTATGCAGCATGAAAGGTGTCCATACCTTTCCCACTCCTGTTATAAATGTTGCCATGTTTTTCATAAATCTGAAAATAGCAAATTTTTCAATTAGACTGTAGTTAATATGACCAATTTAATTAAACACAGCACAATGTTACTCTAAGGTGATTCAGAGGCCTCAGTGTCCATGCAACCCAGTCTTTGACCAAGCATCCTAGTTGACATGTCAACCAGGTTGTCAGATGTAGCTGAAGAGTCTGACAAAGGAACCACAGCCTGAATGATCAAGTACTCTTTGGAGTTTACCAAGTTGCCTCTTGAATGTCAAAAAAAGTTAGCTTGTTATGCCCTTTACATTTAGAGGGAGTGTTAAAAAGTCTCAGGCCCTTAATGTTTATAGAATCGTTTCTTAACAGGGCATTTTTTGTACACTTTACCAAGCCTTCTACTACTTCCCTGGACCTCTACTTGTACATCCATGAAAATACTCTGGTATTCTATTACATAAACTGTAGAAACATGAAACATAAGATAGATGACCTTTGAGCACTCATGTGTGTACAGAGAAGATTAACCTAGTAATGCTAACCGAGACATGGTTAAATATAGATCTTCAGGACAAGTTTACCTGAATTTACCTGAGGGGCCACGATTTGTTTAGTGACCTTGATGAGGGCAGGAAGCCAGTAGCTTGTCAGAGTACCCCTCATTTGTCCTGATGATTTTCTCAAGCTGGATTTTGATATTCAGAAGTTTTGGGCATTTACAGCTTCAGCAGGTAGGTAGTTCCATTGATTTATAAGCTATGGGTGAAAAAGCATCTTCTGTTTTTTGTCCTACATTGTGGCTTGAGCTTGAAATAGTTACCTCATAAAATATTTGTGTTACATCTGACGTTTTGAAGAACATACAAGATCAAGAATATATGAATCAATATCCTCAAAATTGTTCAGTACAGTATTTTAAAAGTTTCGGTGAAATACGGGACTACTGGTACTAACTTTTTCACATACATAGAACAGACAAAAAGAGATGGATGAGTGGTGTTATATATGAGGCAGGATCTCAAAGGAAATGCAGCCATAATCAGGAGAGAAAGACTGAAGACCAAGCTGAAACTGTTTTTTTTTTTTTTCAGAATTTGCTGAGGGCAGTGAAAAGTAGTGGTAAGCACAGTCGAGTTACAATCAGGTTTTAGATTAAATTCCTATGGCAGGGCAGAACCATTTGGGGAATGTTTTTCTTTCACCTGACATCTCTATTCATCTAGTACTAGGTGAATAGGTACATCTAGTACTAGGTGAGTAACTTAGTACTAATACTAGGTTACCCCAAAAGTTTGACAATAATTGTGGGTTGCATCCTAGGGAAGGTCAGTAGTTGGCTAAGGGAGACCTCTATAAACTTATTAGGGCTGGATGTTTCTTTACCATAAAAAAAACAAGTCTTTTACCTGTCTGTAACCTGTTGGAAGATAAACAGCCAGAAGTCATTGGTGGTCCAGTGGTGGCTGGATGTTGCTGCTTTTGTTGATGCTTGAAATAAGGGAGATGAAAGAATTACTAGTATGTACCCTATCAAACCAGTCCCTTGAGTAGAAACCAAGAGTCAATATTAAAAAAAAAGAAATCTGCAAAACTAATCTTTATTTCTGCATGACATACCTAGCTCCTATGCCATGACAGGTGTAGCCACCTACACTACACACTGGGTAGAGCAAGAGTCAGACATCCCCAATGTCCAGAGGACACACAGGAGCGGATACAAGTCAAAATGTACATAAGATTGTTTGTGAATGTATTTTAAAACTTACCAAAGCTTGTATGCTTTGGTAAGTTGGGTTGTATGCTAAACCCAACTTAAACCAATCAAACACAGCAAAACCTAACATGGTCAAACCTAACACAGCCTAACTAAACACCACCTAACCAAACAGTCTAACCTAATATATAAAGTCAAACCAAACACAGCCTAACATGAAATAACTTAACACAGTCTAACCTAATACTGTATAGCCTAACCTAACAGCCTATCACTGTCTAACCTAACACAGTCTAATGATATACAGCATACAGATTTGACAATTCTAAAATAGTTTTGTTAAAATGTTACTCAAAGCTACTCAAAGCTTCCTAACAAGCTACCCAAAGCTTCCTAACTTTACGTTAGTAATGAATAAATATGATATATTTATTCATTATAATGTTGGTGCTGAATGTAGTACATGGAAAAAAACATATTTTTACTCAGAAAAAGTATCATTTCACAATAAAATTAGATGAAAATAAGCTGCTGGTGACGCTAAAGCAAGTCGATGGTCCAAGCGACACGTTGTGGAGCAACTTATCCAAGACACATTGTTGCTTGGAGAGTGTTTGCTGGCATATGAGCCTTCTGTACCTACCTAACCTAATCAACCTACCCAAACATAACCTAACAAAACCTAACCTATCCAAACCTAACTTAATATAACCTGTAGGCAACAATATATCTTGGATAAGTCGTTCCACAACATTGTCGCTTGGATCGTCAACTTCCTATGGCCTCTCATGCGACTTTGTTTCGTCTAATTTTATTATAAACTTATATTATTTCAGAGTAAAAATATGTTTTTTCATGTTTTACCTTCAGTACCAACGTTATAGTGAGTAAATATATCATATTTCTTCATCACTTACGTAATACTAGGAAGCCTTGGGTAGTTTTCATTAGATTTGGGTAGCTTTTTGTAATTAGACGGACCTTGTCCTGTCCTAGAGCGGCCCTAATGTGAACTCGCGTGTAATTACCTTTTTCAACAACCTACAGGCGGAGCAGAAATTTAATGTTGTTGTTATAGACGATGATTAAGTGATCAGATGCGCCCCGGCTGCCTGTTACCGGGAGAGGGAGAGGTTATGGCCTCCGTTCTGGCGGTGGAAACCCAATGTTATGGTGAGGAAGAGCGATCGCTTCTGCTGCTGGGACAATGTTCACGTTTTCTATGGTTGGTAATCTGAATTGTCTGGTTCTCTTTGTTTAATCAAACTGTGTCAACAAAATTATTCGCACACCCTCCGTTACTCTATGTGATGGAGTGCGAAAAGATACGTGAATTTACAGACAATTCTATAACCAATGTTCCAGCGATGTGTAAATATTTCATTCAAAATTATCTGCTACCAGAAATTTTAGCCAAATATCCCCAGTTTGCTAACTGTAGGTAGTAAATGAGTGTTTATAACCTATCCACCGCTGCCCACTGGATGGGGGGCGGTGTGCAGGACAAACATAAATTGTGACACTAGCTCTCCACATATGTCAGTTGCTTAATTTAGAACCTGTACTTGAGGTCGATCTCGAACCCATTGTTGATGTGACGACTTATATTGAATTTTGTAATTAGCTCATCAAGATTGTAACTTGCTTAGCTAAATGAATTGTGGGGTTCAGTCCCTGAACCCATTATGTGCCTCTGTAACCCTTTCCACTACCGCCCACAAGATGGGTATAGGGTGCATAATAAATGAACTAAACTAACTAACTAACTCTTTGTTTAATCTACTGTTTGGCTTTGATTCGGTTACAAGTATCTATTTATTTATTTATTTATTTATTTATTTATTTATTTATTTATTTATTTATTTATTTATTTATTTATTTATATATTTATTAATTTATTTATATACAAGAAGGTACATTGGGTTTGTGAGAATACATAGCATGGTATTTACAATCTTGTAAAGCCACTAGTACGCGCAGCGTTTCGGGCAGGTCAAATTCCAGATTCCAGATCCATTCCATTCCAGATCTCTTGGAATTTTCATAGTCAGCTAATGTAGACTTCACCAAATGTAAACTGTGTCAACATAATTATTCGCACACGAATAATTAATAAGTGCGAAAATATACGAGAAATCACAGACAACTCGATAACAAATGTTCAAGAGATGAGTAAATATTTCATTCAAAATTATCTGCTGCCAGAAGTCTTGGCCAAATATCCCCAGTTTGCTAACTGTAGGTAATACCTGAGTGACTGTAACCTATCCATCGCTGCCCACTGGATGGAGGGCGGTGTGCAGGACAAACATTCAATTGTGACAATAGCTCTCCACATATGTCAGTTGCTTAAATCAGAAACTGTACTTGTGGTCGGTCTCGCGCCTAGTGTTGATGTGACGATGTGCATTGAATTTTGTAATTAACTCATCAAGATTGTAACTTACTTCGATATATGGATTGTGGGGTTCAGTCCCTGAGCCCATTATGTACCTCTGCAACCCTTTCCACTACCACCCTTATAGTATCACTTGGATACGACTCTTGAAGTAACATATGCAGGCATGGAGACCTCATACTCAGAAAGACAGCTGTTCTGGAGAAAGTTCAACACTAGGCAACAAAAATTATTACAGAATTAAGTCAAATCTACCTATATTATCAAGAATATTTGAAAAAAAAAAAACATATTTACAAACATCTCTACTCCTACCTCGTAAAATTCAACATACTAAGTCCCCTGTCAGTTTGGCTACCGCCCCTAAAAGAGTACCAGTGATGCAATTGTTAGTTTGCGTGATACAATCTACTCAGCCCTTGACAAAAATGAGTTTCCGATTGGACTTTTCATTGACCTGAGAAAGGCCTTTGATACTGTTAACCATAACTACCTCTTACTTAAACTCCACCATTATGGAATCCGAGGCCTTGCCCTGAACTATATCCGATCCTATCTTAGTGACAGACACCAATATGTAGTCATCAATGATATAACCTCTCCTACTCTACCATTAACCGTAGGGGTGCCACAGGGCAGCATCCTAGGTCCTCTCCTATTTCTTATATATATATATATATAATATATATATATATATATATATATATATATATATATATATATATATATATATATATATATATATATATATATATATATATATATATATATCAATGATCTGCCTAATGTCTTTAACATTCTTACACCTATATTGTTTGCTGATGATACTACCCTCATCTACTCAGACCCCAGTTACCTTGGAGTTTTTCCGGGGCTTAGCGTCCCCCACGGCCCGGTCGTCGACCAGGCCTCCTCGTTGCTCAACGCGTCAACTAGGCTGTTTGATGCGGCTGCTCGCAGCCTGACGTATGAATCACAGCCTGGTTGATCAGGTATCCTTTGGAGGTGCTTATCCAGTTCTCTCTTGAACTCTGTGAGTGGTCGGCTAGTTATACCACAACCCACACATATTAAATAATGTTGTAAATAATGAACTAAAGAAAAGTCCACTTATGGATGTCAGCCAACAAACTCACACTAAACATGGAAAAGACCTACTTCATTTTATTTGGATGCAATTCAGCTTCAGATAGACAATGTTAACATCAGCAATAGAAATGATGGAAAGTTCCTTGGCCTATACCTAGACAAGAGACTCAACTTCAGCACCCACATACAACATATAACTAAGAAAGCCTCAAAAATGGTTGGTATACTCTCTGAAATCAGATATTATGTTCCAAACTCTGCTCTCATCTCACTATACTATGAACTAATCTATCCCTATCTTACGTATGGTATCTGTGCTTGGGGGTTCAACCACTGCAAACTACCTCAAGCCCATCATCACCCAGCAAAAATCTGCTATCAGAACAATAACAAACTCTGTTTCCAGACAACACTCAGCCCCTCTGTTTAAATCCCTAAACATGCTAAACATTAACTCACTCCACACATTCTTTTGTGCCATTTACGCGTTCAAATCCTTGTTCTTAAATGCAAACCCTGTTCTGAGACCCTTCCTGAATAGGACCCATAATCACCACACCAGAAATAAATATCTCTTTGATATCCCCAGAGTCAAACTTAATCTGTGTAAACTCTCTATGCAAATAATGGGACGTAGTCTATGGAACTCACTCCCTAATGAATTGAAAAACTGTCCAACCTTGACCTAATTCAAAAATAAAACCTAAAAGTACCTAATTTCATCTTCATAGTTTCCTCCCTTGTGCTTTAAACTCGCACTGTATCTAGTGCTGCCCAATCCCCCAATATATGCACCTAAGCCATACAACTATTGTAATCATTGTTATCACCTCATATCATGGTTGTTATAATGAACGCATAGCTTTCTGCATTATACCTTGAAATAATCCTAAATATATACTACAGTGTACCTGTTGATAATCCTTAAATTTACTTTAATGTATCTACTAATCTTGTCAAATTTTTATACAATGTATTTTTCTTATACTTTCTTACAATGTATTTTTTATACCTTCTTACAATGTACCTGTAAAAAAAATTAAATTTTGCTAGAAATTGCTTACTAAAAATTATCTGTTAGACTAAGGATCTGCCCGAAACGTTATGCATGTTACTGGCTTTACAAGAATGTAAAACATCAATGCTGTGTACTCTCATAAACCCAATGGACCTTACCTGGTTGATGAGGTTCTGGGAGTTCTTCTACTCCCCAAGCCCGGCCCGAGGCCAGGCTTGACTTGTGAGAGTTTGGTCCACTAGGCTGTTGCTTGGAGCGGCCCAATATATTTATTTATTTAATTAAATAAATAAATAAATAAATAGAAACAATGTTCAAATTAAGAAACAGCAGAACGAGAGGAGGTAATTGGAAACTGGAAACACAGATGAGTCACAGGGATGTCAGAATGAACTTTTTCAGTCTGTGTCGTAAATAAGTGGAGCGGACTGGACGAGGAACTTGTCGAAACTAATTCAATTCATAAATTTTAAATGATAATTTATTGTGTCGGGGGACAGGCAGCCATTATATACATACAGTACATGACACACAGAGATCACACTAACGTGATGCATCAAATGAACAGATCCACAAGGGCCGTGACGAGGATTCGAACCTGCGTCCGGGAGCATCTCAGACACTGCCTTAATCGACTGAGCTACGACAGGGTAAAAGGGTTGAAACCGAAGTTCTACTGAACTTAGAACTTTTCAACTCTTTTTAACCCTGTCGTAACTCAGTCGATTAAGGCAGTGTCTGGGATGCTCCCGGACGCAGGTTCGAACCCTCGTCACGGCCCTTGTGGATTTGTTCATACAGTACATGTTAGGCTTATATCGAGGTCAAGGGTCACATTACTGACCTTCCTCGGGTCAGCAACCCCACAACAAACTGACAATACTGCTACGGGCTCACCATAGCCCGTGCTACTTGGAACTTTTTGTTCCAAGTAGCGAATCTTAAACAACAACAAACTGACTAACCTGACCTGGGTAGCTATTAATTGCTAGGTGGACAGGAGCATTAGGTAATAGGAGACGCGCCCAACCGTTTCTGTCCCGCCCGGGATTCGAACTCGGAATTATCGACTGTCGGTCGAGAACGAACCCCACTATACTACCGGGACCCTAAATGTAATGTAAATTTAATGTAAAATGTAAATATGATAAGAAAAACGAGGGAAATGAGTCAGTGCATTGAACAAATGAGTATCAGAAGGCGGGGCTTAATAGCTGATGTTTGACCCAGCAAGGCGATGAGTCACAATAACGTGGCTAAAGTATGTTGACCAGACCACACACTAGAAGGTGAAGGGACGACGACGTTTCGGTCCGTCCTGGACCATTCTCAAGTCGATTGTATATATATGTGGTCTGGTCACAATCGACTTGAGAATGGTCCAGGACGGACCGAAACGTCGTCGTCCCTTCACCTTCTAGTGTGTGGTCTGGTCATCATTGACCCTGCAAGCACAAGTAGGTGAATACGACCAGGTGAGTACACACACACACACACATCACTCTCTCTCCCTCACCATAACTCTACATTATTCTTTGGGACTCCCGTCCCTCCCTCCCTTCAAGCTCCTTCACTTAAGGAGAGCAGATGGACGCTTTCTTGTCATCGCCTCTCACGTTGAAAGGCTTCCCAGTTCTCATGAACCAATCACCCATTCACCATCCTCTTCCCTC